TAAATAACGGAAGCTTTTGGCAAATATATTTCAACGGCTATGCGCCCTGGAAACACTTTCTTATTATTTATTTTGTAATATTTTCAAGACATTCTTTTTAGTTTTACAGCTTATTGAACCTTATTGAATACAGTTAATTATTCAAAATGTTAGAGTTCCTTATTTGTAAACTGAAACTTGCACTACTGTTCAAAAATATATAACAACAAACCTGGAATTATGCATTTGGGACTTTTTTTAGCTTTTTCTTGTTGTACCGAACCCGTACCGAACTGTGACCCCCAAACCGAGGTACATACCGAACCGTGAATTCTGTGAACCGTTACACCCCTACCTGTGTGACTGCTGCAGTAGCCATGTGAGCTGCGAGAGCGATTGGGCCAGCAAAGCTGCACGCACTGGGAAGGTTACTGGATGTTTAAGGTCTCTACAAATCTCTTCCATTACACGCACCATATTCAAGCTGTAACCTGAAAATATAAAAAAAAAAAAATCAAAAGGCAATTTATTTGAGATGTAACTATGTTCTAGTATATTTTATTCATCTGTGCTTATAAAGATGTAATTATGAAAGCATATATAAAAAACATGTGAGTTTGGGCCACGCGGTTGCAATACGTAACCCATAAACAGACAAACTGTAGTGCAGTAACAATTAAGACATTACTTACTTAACAGTATTTTAATAGCCAACTCATATGTTCAAACAGTATATTTCCAATGCCAAAAATAATTATCCATCAGGAGATCTTTTAAAGAAAATAGAAAACTGAAAAAAGCTACTTGCAGCAGTATTCACACACTATAATTTGGTAGAGCAACCTTAAGCTTCAACAAAAGCCTGAAGTATTTTTGGGTAAGTATCTACCGGGTCATTAAGCTGTTCTGAAGGATTTCTGACCATGACCTCTGCAGATCTGCTCCAGGTTGTTCAGGTTGGTTGAATGATGCTTGTGAACCGCAGTTTTCAAACAGTGCCATAGGTTTTGGGTGGGATAGAGATATGGATTTGACTTGGCACTTAGGACATTAACCTTTCTGTTGTTTAACTCTCCTGTGTTGCTTTGGCTTTGTGCTAGGAATCATTGTCCTGCTGAAAGGTGAAGTTTGATTCACCTTTGACTTTGATTGCCTTCTGTTGGTTTTCAGGTTTCCTAAATTCTTCTATAATAAATAGAAACAAGTCCTCCACATAAACACAGCCAGTGGCACGAAAGTGTCATCACCTGCATTATCTATCCCAGCAGTCCATCCTGTAGTCCAGCCGAGAGAGAGCACAGCGTGAGTGGGAAGAGTTCTCACAGCAGAAAGGAATGCCTGAGGTTCCAGAGGTGTGGCCTTTCCCCCAGGACCAGAGAGGATATCTGCATTGATCCACAGTGGGCAGCTTGGCTGAGCCAGCATCTTCTCCAGAAGAACGACAGACGGAAATACCGCCTCCATGCTGTTGGAGTACACCACAGTGCTTACATCACAGACAACCATATAATATTATAAAGAAGGGATATAAGTAACATCTTACCTCTTAAAGTCTAGTTTTATTCCCTTGTTATACTCCTTCACTTTTTCCAGCCACTCTTTCAGTGTGATGTCACTCTCTGTGTCAGGTGGATGTGCCATGATGGGCTCTTTAGGATCCCGGCCTCTCATGACTATGTCAGCCTCAATCATGTGTGTGGGACCTAGAATGGAAGTTGATGGTCAAAAGAGTTAGTGAAGAACTCTGTCAACACAAAGGTAAAATCTCTATATACTAAATAATAAATATAATGTCTAAATTCTCCCTTCATGAAGGTTCTAACGTTTGTTTTTTCCCACTTTAAGGAAGCATGAATGAAACCTTATGCATATTTTGGAGACTTTTTAATTGTATTTCAGTGCGATAAGATCTTTGTAATATTCTGTCTACCGTATTGCAATCAATGTTTGTTTTGGATAGTGTTTCTAGCAAACTGGAAAACTGAGTGTTTATGTGACCAATCAAACATGATAATAGCTTATATATTAGAATGCAATCAAATTCGGTCTGACAAATTACCATGGAATAAAATCTATGTATCTCTAGGAACGCCTCAACAACAAATGGACATTACAAATTACTAGCACTTATTGGAGGACAATGGTACTGAAGTGTTATATGTAGTCCAGTAAACTTGATTAAACAACTTTGTTGAATGTTTTCTTAATTCATATGTATGCATTATGGGTGGAGAAACGTCATTATGTAAAAATCAAGAAAAATGACAAAGCATCTGAGCATGAATGAGCCATATATTTGTATTTGTGAGTGACAGGATCACCTTATTAATCAATCGTGTCCCAGTGAGCTTTGATAAACCTTCACATTCGGGTTAACAACTGATTCCTCTGCAGATCTCCTTCTTGATTCATAAATTAGATATTTGGTATTCTTTGAAAGAGCCCAAGGTGATGTCTTAACAACTATTTTTAGTCTGAAAAGACAAGACAGTTGAAGACGCTAAGATTTTAGATTTGCAATGGTATTAAACACAAATAAGATTAAGTCACAGAAATTATTCTCAAACTTCAAATAATCGATTATTTCACTAAGTTTCACTCACAAAATGTAGTGAAAAATGACGAAAACAACTAAGTCAGCACTACTTGGTGGCACAGCTTCATCAAAAACCGATCATGCAGAGTTTACTTTAATGTAAAAAACCAAAAATCCACAGAGTGCATTTTCATCTTTAGACTATAAAGATATAGAATGTAAAGAAATCTACAGCACACACTGTGTATAGAGCAACCCACAAGCTGTTTATACATCTATAGACTATTGCAAGATATAAGCCCTTTCTCAATTGACACATTTTCGCCTCCTCGGTCCTCCGGTAGTGACCTGGAAATTCGTGTTGAAGGACATCTAATTTCTCTAAATGCCCATTGAGGATCTAGGATGGAGCATGGAGGAGGCTCTCTGGAGGAGCTATAACCCAGGATACACTGATGTTGAGGAGAGAAAGGAGAGAGGAGGCTCTCTGGAGGAGCTATAACCAAGGATACACTGATGTAGAGGAGAGGAGTCTCTCTGGAGGAGCTATAGCCGAGGATACACTGATGTATCCTCCGGGGATGTATTTCAGGCAACAGTGATGTTTAAAAGAGGCGTGAAGCACGGCTGGACTTATCTCAACCAATGACTGCTCTGCAAACTGTTCAGTGTGATTATAAGTTATTTAAGATGATCAAATGTGCTTCAAGTGTTCTGCCCTTTACCGTTTG